TATTTTTCTGCCTTTTATTCGTGCTCTGTTTTTTAGCATGTTTTCCGTGCATGTGTGTGCTTGCTTTCTGCATTGGTGTTTCGTGTTTCTGTTGCTCTGCTTTGTGTTCTTCTTTTTTTTGTGTGACTTTCTTCTCTCTGGTTCTCTGTCTCTCTTTCTTCGTCTCTATCTCTCTGTGTTTTCGGCTGGCGTCTGCTCTTCTCCTTCTTCTGTTTTGTTGGGTTTTCATCTGGTCTTTTCTTCTGTGCTCTTTGGCTAAAAGTCTGCTCTCTTCATGGTGGTTTTGCTGGCGTGGCTTCCCTTTTTTTTTTTTCCATGCAGCCCTCTGATTCCTTCGTCTGTGCTGGCGTGGCTTCACTTTTGTTTCCATGCAGCCCTCTAATTCCTTCGTCTGTGCTGCTCGCGTGTGTTGAAAAAGGGAGGCCCTTTTAGGGCTGTGATGATCAGTATCATCCGGCCCTCATGTATTATTATTTTTTATTTTTATTAATATTTTTTATTAAATTAACACACACATATTTTAAGTGGAAAATAAAATTTAAAGAAAAAAAGTTTAACTCTCAAAAAAGTAACTTTCAATATTCTTGAATGATTGAAATAATTTGTGAGAGATTTTTTTTTAAAGATTTAACCTTTGCTTGTTTTGATTTTGTTAAATTATTATATTTTTTTTGAAAATATAATTCTAAAATAGATTAAATTTCATTTTGTGTTTTTTATATTTTTTAATTATTTATTATTAAATTTAAAAATATTTGAATAAAATACGGTGTTCACATAGAGCATGATTAAAGACCTCTCCAATAAAACAGCATATCTAGTGGTAGAGTCTATCAAATCTCATGCTCAAAAAAATCATTCCGATTTATTCTATTTGATTCAGCAGCCTATTTTAACCCATCTTTGTCTTATGCTGAAGAACAAGCTGGTGTATCACAACTCATGTGTTTCGTAATTAAAAGATATCCGTGAATCAAACATCAAACATAGAAAATTAAGCAGTTCTCTCTTTTCCCATTGGACGAAGCAGCCACGGAGGGATGACAGGCCAATAAATGTCATTCATGTTCCAATGACCGAAACGTATAAACGACGACTATTGGCGTCAACCTTCAACGTTTTAAAATCGGATAACTAACGACAGAGAGATGAATAAATTTGTATATAGTACAATCTATTTTAGTTGCGATTTTTTTAATACAAATTTGGACCTTTCAGAATCCAAGTGGCGAATCTTGGAAGAGTTGACATGACATTGATATAATAAATAAATTAATTCCAATTTAATTATATAATAGTGGATTAAAGGATAAATTTGAATTTTTTCACCAAATGCAATGAGTATCCTTAAATTTTGATTGTCATAAAATTATCCTAAAAATTTAAAAAATGATGCAATATTGTCTCGTAATATAGTAAGGTTGATTGTTAATTAAACATTTTTTTATAATGGTTAAAAATTAATTTTGCTCCAGAAGTTTTTTTTAAAAGATAAATTAGTATCTTAAACTTTTCAATCAGCGCAATATTTTTAAATTATTAATATTTAAATTATAAAAAAAATCTAACTACACATTATTAATTTAAAAATGAGTTGTGTTTATACCCAAATTATCCTTTTATTTTTGCTTAACAATGTTTATAGATTTTGACAAGAAACATTACTTAATTTTGCTTGAATGTAAAACTAACTCTATTTGAACATTCTGCGAACTTTCCCTTCAATAAAGTCCAAACTTTTCTTTATTTTTTGTAATGAGTAAGTTCAAGCATGTGTCCAAACTTAACTGTAAGCAAATATAGATTTTTTTTTTTTTCAAACTGCTTGTGGGCAACATAGATTAATTTAAATTTTGACTTAGAGATGTTTAATATAATTCAATTCAAAATCTTCTATGATTTTAGGTCATAATGACTTGTTAGATCATTCTTTTGATTTAAAAGTTAATAATCTTAAAGTATTGCGCTTGTTAAAAGTTTAGGATGTTAATTTTTTTTTAAGATAAATTTCAAGAATAAAATTATCCTTTAATCCTCATAATAACAATAAACATTTGCCAAATGTTATTACAGTAAAGTTAACCTTTAACCCTCATAATAACAGTAAACATTGATCAAATGTTAATATAGGGATAATGTTGCATCATTTTTTTAACTTTTTGGATAATATTGCATCAATTGAAAGGATAACTGTTTCATTATTTAATGAAAAACTTATAGAGCAAATTTGCCCATAACCTTATAATAAATAATCATCATCAACTTATTGCTTTGATTTTTATTTCCATTTATTCAACCACACTAATTAATCATATATCATATGATTCATATAATTATTTCAATTCGTATAATAAAAAAAGGACGACTACTGGCGTCAACGTTTTATAATCCGATAGCAAAGCGGGCGAACCAGACGCCAAGCAACGAGGTTTAATTCGATAACGTCCTTCTAATTCCCCCCCCCCCCCCAAAAAAAAAAATTACTCCTAAGTTTTATTCAAAAAAGAAAAAAAATATGACAAAAGTCAAATATTAGTTATATTGAGTGGGGTTACCACACCCAGTAGTTTTATATCCATGAATAGTTCATTTAATAGTTCATCAATCATAGGTAATATTCAGATCATATAATTTATGTTCTATGTGATTCTTGGATGATTTTTTTTTCAAGTTATATAAAAGACTAAAATAGTTCTAATTAGTTATTATCTGTACAAACTAAACTAGAATTTAACCTTGATGTGCTGGACAAAATTTTTTATAGAAAAATGGATTCTAAGTTTTGTGTCGTTAAAGTTTTGATATAATTGTAATTAATATAATTTTTAGAAAAAATTAATTATTCAATCTCTATAATTTTGATTCAATTGTAATTTAATTTTTAAATTTTAACTCATTATGATTCGATCTTTATAGTTTTTGATTATAACTATGTCCTTGAATTTTGACTAGATACAATTTAATTCTATAATTTCAATCATTTTAAATATTGGTCTTTCTATTTTAAAAAATAAAATTATCATAATTAAAATTATTTTAAAATTTGGGGACTAATAATTATAATTACCAAAATATTTAATATTTATAAAGAAAATAAAAATTAAAATTTTAAAATAATTTCAAATTTTTAATTTATTTTTTAAAATATATATACCAATATTTTAAATAGTTATAACTATCGAAAATGAGTTGTGTTGAGTTAAAATTCAAAAATTAAATTAGAATAAATCAAAGTTTAGAGGTTAACCTATAATTAAATTAAAATTATAAGAATCAAATAATTTATTTTTCCTAAATTTAAAGTATTTTACAGTTAGGAATTTTATGTGCAAATTAAATGATTATGAATGGGAAGTGTATCATAACACCTCGTATGTAACAATTAAAAAAATTAAATTGAATTATTAGACCATGAAGCGGGTAGGTTCAATTTATATGGACCCGTTTTTACGGGTCCAGGTCCAGAAGATAAGGAAAAAAAAAAAGTTTCTTTAATTCCCTGTCCAACCCACAAAAGTGTACATTCCCCAGCAACCATAAAATGAGGTCTCTCATAGGTTGATGCTTTTCCAAATTTGATCGTTTAGGAAGAGTCTGTAACCATCTTTGACTGCATAAATCCTAGAACAATTTCCTTTCCACATTAAAAGAATATCGAGAAAATATAACTTTGAATCTTTATATTTTGTGATAGGTCCTAGCACTTTTTTTGGTGTTTTTAATTCCCATATTTTTTTTTTTTGATATTCTAGATCCTTAAATGAACAAAGTGTAGGAATCTTAAAAGAATCTAAAACACCAAAAAATAAAAGTATAAGGACTTAGGAAACCGAAAAAGGTGCAGGAATCAATAACAAAACGGGAGTAAAGTACGAAAACTTAAAGTTATATTTTTTCAAAAATATCTCTCATAGATGATATTGCGGCAATATTGTGTATCTCATTTTCTTATGTGAGAATCGAATTTAAAGTCATCTCAAATGAATTTATTACAATAAGAGTTTATTAATTTCACATTTGATATAAAAATACTTATTGTTGTTAAAAGCTGAATTTTAACTTATTAAATTTTTTAAAAAAAGCCCTAACAAAAACAAGTCAAGGTTTAGCTTTTAACAATGTATACATGTCTTCATAAGACAACATCCGACACAGAATTGATAACCTCTTATTGTAATAAATTATCTTAAGAGGGTCTTGTATGTCATTGTATATTTTCCTAGTTATGTGCATTTTATGTTTACCCACAATTGAAAGCATTGCATGATAACCTTTCTGCATGAGACACCAGGGGCGGGTAAAGAGGTTAATAATAACATTGGAATCGCTTCCCACTTTCCCTCACAGTTTATGTTGTCAGTTACTAAATTGCCAGATTCTCTAATATATTTTTTTAATTGAAAAAAAAAAACTAAAATCATAAACGATTACAACCTAACTAATGATCTTCGTACTCACCATTTACTTTATTTAGGTTCTTCAAATTCTAAAAAATACTGTTTTTACTATCTAATTTAAATTTTAGATATATACATTTAAGGTATGTGCATAAAAATTAGGACGTCCATTCTTTGATGCTTGTCATAAAGAAAATCGCCTATTTTAATTTTTTTTAACACTTTTTTGCTGTATAAAAATTTAAGTGAGTTGTATCTCAAGTCTCCAAGTCTAAGGCAAGACATAATATTTAAAAATATATTTATAAATTATTCACTAATAAAATCTTTACGTTAATAGTAAGGTTTGAATTCAAAACCTTTGTAAGTTATGAAAATTTTTTACCAACTAGAACGATTAGTCAGTCAAATCACCACTTTTTAATGCCAATATGTCCGTGAAATGACAAAGTAGAAAAATCAGATCAATATACACTTGATGTCATTTAGCTAACATTATTTTCCAAACGTTCACATAAATCCTTACTGTGCGCCTGGCTATCCTGATTATCAGTAGAACAGATTGATATGTATCCCCTGCTTGCTACTTGTTGCTGAAAATTTTTACAGTGCATACATACTGCGTGTTGGATTTTTCTTCATTGTGTAATATAAAATAAAGTCTAGCAAGTTTCCACAACACCATAACGTGGAAAGAGGACAAGCATGCAAGACAAGTTTTTTTTTTTTTTTCGTAATAGAGAAACGCAAGTCAACTTCTTCCCCGCAAGAGATTAAAGCAAAGCATGACCTCTATTTTGTAATACCTCTTTTCCTTTAGGCTTTGACTTGTGCCAGACCATATTTTTATCTCCCGCTAAAATAGTAATTTTTTGGAACAACAAGCATATTATTATTATTATTATAAAAGTTTTGAAATACGCACAACAAGAAGTCTTCAGACAACTTCGATGCAACAAACAGTCATCGCACTTTCACTCTTCTTCAGGCTTTTGAACAGACTTCTCCATCACAAACCCACTCATCTTTTTTACTCTCTTCTTCTTCTTCATTGGTAACTTCTTCAGGCTTCTCTTCCTCCAGAGCACATTTTGGATGGAGATCGAAGTCACATTGGTCACAGTAGAATGACCATGAGTGACCCTCCTCGCCACAACCATCACAGTAATAAATCCTCCTGCGAGTCAACACAAGCTCATGATCATGAGACTTGTGCGTCACCTTCTCAGGCCACCCCTTTGCCATCTCTTCAGACGCTGCCTCAAGTTCCTTCACCCTTTCCTCGGTGAAAGGATAAGCTCCAGCGCCATGGAGCTTGACGAGATCTCTCGCCTCTTTCGTGACGGTCCGGCCACTGGGTCCGATGGCCACCAGCATTGGGATGCCTGACACCTTGAATTTGCGACTCAGGAATGACTTCCTCGAGTCACCGAAGGGAAGAGCCAGCCATGGCATTCCAGCAAAGAAGTCATTGAACGAGGCTTCGTCACTGTCACTAGAGATGAAGACAACTTCAAGTGCATTGTCCTTGGCCTTGATCTTGTGATATGCTTCCATAAGCTTTGGAAGAAATGCACGGCATGGCGGACACCAGTGAGCTGAGAAGTACAAGAGGACTGTCTTCCCCACTAAATCTGACACTGGAACCTGAAAAAAAGGAGAACCACTGTCATTGACTCATTATCACAGAACGGAGACAGAAGAAAACATGAGAGAACCAGCGGAAAGGTTATGAGGATAATCGGTGTAAAATTTCGTTTTATCTAAGAGTTTCGTGTTTGGTATGATCTAACAAGTCAAAAGCTGCATTGTAAAAAACATGCTAATCTTTCATCATAAAAGAACTAAATCAAAATTTCAAAGACATCAACATTCAACTCACTGTTATCTTTATCTCCCTATAATTCCAAAACATAAATGTATCTTGCATCTTAAAATATTTTTGGCATATCCAAGACATGTTGATGAAGATAACCATTCACAAGATATTGAACATATCTAAGAAGCAAGACAAGAACGTGAGGTTCGATTGTTTTCAAGAAAAATACCTTGACTCCATCTTTCCCCAAGACAAAATCTAGATCCCCAGAAACAAGAATGGACTCGAGGGTCTGCGTTTCCTCTTTGGCCTTCTCTATCTCAGCGAGCTCTGAAAACTTCTCAGGAGTAAAAGGGTATGCAGTAACACCATGCTCTTCAATGGCTTCAACCACGTTGGAATGAAGGGTTTTTCCATCCGGACCAATAATAACCAAAGCGGGTAAAGCCGACAGCTCAAAGTAGCGAGCTAGCTTCTCACAGCTCTTGTCCTTGTACGGCAATGCCAACCAGGGCACATTTTTCAGTCCTTGCTTGAACGATGCTTCATCATCACGAATGGATATCAACACAATCTCAAAGTCCTCACTCTTTTCTTTCAGCTTCCCATAAACCTCCACAAGCTTTTGGGTAAACTCAGCAGATGCTCCGCGCGAAAAAGATGAGAAATACAGACCCACCGTCTTCCCCTCAAGTTCAGACACGGGAACCTGCGTGTAAATAGAAGGTGAAATTCTGAAATTCAAACAGCAACATTCTAAATATATATTTCTAAGATTTACGCTGGTCTTTAATGTAAATAAGTAAAGAGAACACTTCTTCAGTTGTGTCTCATGAAGAGCATAATGTTACAGAAACTTGCTTGCTTTCCATCAGAAGATATAACGAAGTCGCGTGACTTGAAGACCAGGAGAGATCTCAAGGACTGGTTCCTCTTGGCTTCCTCTTCTTGGTCTTTCAAATCTTTGATCCTTTCTGGTGTGAAAGGGTATGCTTCAGCTCCATACTCAAGTACAACCGCAGTTCCATCTTCAGTGGCTACTTTCCCATTCTCATCGAGGATTACAAGGTAAGGAATCCCCTTAACCCGGAACAATTCATCGAGGCAGCTACGTGTGCCAGAATCAGAAAATGGGATGGCAAGCCATGGCATCTTGGAAAAGTAACCTTTGAAGGCATCTTCATCTCGGTCAGCCGACACAAAAATTATCTCAAAATCACCTTTATGAGAGACTTCATTGTACAATTCCACCAATGTAGGGGTGAATTGTTTGCAGGGACCGCACCAAGATGCTGAAAAATATAAGCCAACTTTCTTCCCTTTCAAGCTCTCAATTTTAACCTGAATATGTCAGGAGCATAAACAAAGACTTCCTCAATTCTTCATGAATACGATCATAATCATTTAAAATAATACCTATGAGCTATCATTTCCAATGAAACAATGTATCTAACAGTAGAGTCTATCAGAGTTCACACTCAAAAAAAATCATTTCGTGTTTTATTTGTTTGATTTAGCAGAAGCGGCTTTCTGTCAAAAGGGAGAAAAAAAAGGCAGAAGCAGCTACGTATTCTATCTAACCCAGAGTATATCTTATATCGAAAACTCTTAAGAACATGCTGGGTCATCACAATAATTCACATGTTTCGTTATTTAAACAAATTTTTGAATCAAACATGACAGAAAATACAAAAAGATAGTGATCAAATCAGACGGGCAGCAAGTATAGGCAAGAAAATAGAAAATTACACACCCTAATGACTCAGAAGACTACAAATCTAGTGCTAAGGCCGTTGATCAAAAACTTCAAATATCACTGGAGTCTGATTGACCTACGATGGGTTCATAAAGAAACACAGAGTTCGAGTTTTCCAAATGCTAGAGTTGGACAAATTTTCGAGAAAATGAAAGGTAGAAATCACGTCAAATTATTAAATGAGATAACCAAATACGTACTTGATCGCCGTTGTTCCGAAGGAGATAGTCCCTCTCTGAAGAAGAGAGGACAGATTGAATATCGTGGGCGACATCATCGACACCGGACATTTCTTTCACTGTGAAACCTCGATGCTCCGACCTCACAGTACCGAACTGAAAAGTAACTTTGGTGAAGAAGATTCACACTCAATCGCTCATTTATAGGGGTAAAAAACTGAGGACAAAAACGTAGCACTATTTTGAACATTCGTAATAAAAGAGGAGACAAAATTCTTCGTTCTTTCTCTCTTCACGCTCTTGGAGGTGACTTCCTTGTAGGGGTGTTCAGTCCGGACCCGTCCCGATTGGCCCGGTATCGTCCCGATCATATCGGGACGGGTCTTGTCCCGGCCTGAAACTAATCGGGACGGGACTTTACGGGACGGGACAGGAAAGAGGTTCGGGACGGGACGGGACACGGGATTACCATCGAGACGTCCCGTCCCGTCCCGAATATTATATATATTATTTTTTATTTTAAATATATTAATTATATTAATATAATTTATACTTATATTAATTATATCAATTATAATTTTAATACTTACAATTCTTATTTAAAACTAAAGTTTTTTTATATTGATAATTTTAATGGCATGGAGTAAACATGGCAATATCTTTTTTTATAATATATTAATTATATTAATATAATTTATTTTTATATATATCTATTTAATAACTTTTATTTACAACGTATTTTTTACTTATTTTTAGAAGAGTAATTAGCTTAGTACATCTTCATTAAAGTAGAATAACAATGATTTGATATTATGTTTGACTTGTCTGTTGTTACTAATCTTATAATGTAAAGATCATTTGTGTTTATTATTATAATGTGTAGTTATGATTAATATAATTCAATAATTGATTTTAAATTATTATTATTTATGTACTTGTGTTGTTTTGATTTTAAACTTAATAAATTATATGATTTAAAATTTTAATGAATGTTATTATCCAGATCTTTTTTCGATATTATTTCATTTATCGGGACGGCGGGACGTCCCGATCTTGTCCCGATCCCGTCCCGACTCTTAACGGGACGGGACGACTTTCGGGACGGGACGGGACACGGGACTAAAATTCAGTCCCGATCTTTTTCTCGGGACGGGACACGGGATGGGGGTGTCCCGGTCCCGTCCCGTCCCGTGAACACCCCTACTTCCTTGATGACCGAGAAAGCAATTGAGCATTTTTGTGGGTCCAAAAATAAATGATTAAGCATCTCTCTCCTACATAGCCTGGATTGGTCGGCCCATGGGATTGAGCAGTGTCGTTCACGGGCCAGATACCCAGTAAAACGACGACGACTTTGGCGTCAGCGTTTTAATTTCACGCGACAATGTCCATCATATATATAAAAGCGTACATATATTGGAGGCCAGCTGGTGCCTAGTGGTTGGGTGTAATAATTTGAAGATTACGTCAGCCATGATGTTGAATGAGTTAGACGTCAGCAAGCTTACGCAACACGATAAGGAACGGTGCAATACCAAACAAGAAAACACGACAGGTACCAACAGGGGAGAAGACAGGAACCAGTACGGAACACGGTCATTTTTATTTTTAATTTGTTTAATAAAATATAAAGGTTATATACTTTTCACCTCTTAAATTGATACATTATAGAATACTTAAAATATTAAATAAAATTTTTATTTTAATTTTATAAAAAAATTTTATACATATATAATCCAACTGTTTTAATAGCTCGAAAATATAGTTATTATAAGATTTATTTATTTTCAACAAGATAATATTACAGTTGCTTTTAAAAGTATTAATGTCATTTAATTTTGTTCTATCGAGAATTGTAAGAAAAATTTTAAAATATATTAAATACTATACACTTGATATTTATCGTAAAATTACTTATCTAAAAGTTAAGAGGAATTGGTTGAGATTTTTTTAAAAAAACTTATTTTTTTAGTAATAACCAAAGTATTGAAATTTATTATATAAAAAATTTTTACTATGATATATTTAAATCTCATAGACATAAAGAATTAGTGACAATTAAGCATCATTATCGTATTGATATATTTATTTATTATCATTATCAATTAAAAAAATTAAATAGTAAATTCAGTAAGTAAGTGATGAGCGTTTTTTAAATTGAACAGAACTTTAAATTCCAAATATATATTTAAATTATTCAATGTTCATGGAAAATATTAAATCTTCTCCAGTTTAATGATAGTTTATATTGAGAAAAAAATTATTAAAAATTTTATTTTAAACATGATAATTAATTATTCTCATACTATGAAAAATTGATGAGCAAAACTTAAAAAATAAAGGTATATATTTATTTTTGTTATATATATGTATATAAAATTGAATATAAATAAATATGTTGAAATATATCTGTTATGCTAGTGATATATATAGATTTATTTTTCTTTTAATTATCATATATTCTTTCCGTTAAAAAATGTAAGACATTTGTAATTGAATTTTATCCTCCAATAAAATAGTTACCTACTTTTAAACTAATCCTATCTTTTCATATTTACCCCTATTAAATAGCTTACAATAAATTTAAAGTTATTATCAATAGAGGCACTTTTAGAAAATACAATGATTATATTTTGAAAGATTAAAACTATCTTATATTTTTAACATTTAACTCCTCTAAAAATATCTTATATTTTTTAATGAAGGGAGTATGCTTTGTTGTCTTGGCTTCCTTTAATGAAATTTTCTGGCTCCATCTCTAAGTACAAAACAAAACTTCTTTGCTAAGGTACTAAGGCAAAGCATGTCCTCTATCTTACTCTACCAGATTTTTTTTTTATAATGTTTAGATTGGTAAATTTGAATTTAAATTATATATTTGTTGGTCAAAAATAGAATTTAAATTATATATTTAAAATCTCATAGTTAAAATTCATGTATTTAAACTTCATTGTTTAGGTAATTAATTAATTAATTAATATTAATTAATATTTTTGTGAACAATATTAATTAATTTGTGAGCAATATCTGATCGAAACATGCAAATAACAAAAGAATACTATCAAATATATTAATTAATATTAAAAAATGTACTCCCTCAGTTTAAAAATATAAGACATTTTTTGAAGGGTTAGATGTTAACAAATGTAAGGCATTTTTAGTTTTTTGAGGTGTAATTGTTGCTTTTTTTTTAAAAAAAATACCCCTATTGATAGAAACTTTATATTTATTATAGTGTATTTAATAGAGATAAATATAAAAAGATAGAATTAGTTTTACCCTTATTAAATGCTTTGAATAAAAAAATTAATAATGAGATTTAAGAATATTTATTAAAAGTAAAAGTGAAATCTTGTTAAGTTTTAAGACAAAGTTAATAAAATTTATGATTTTTTTTAATTTTGATAAAACATGCTGAAAATAATTTATAAATAAAACGAGAAGGAATATCTTTTTATTAAAGGCAATATTATTTGAGGCATATTTGGTAAGAATTCAAACTTGGTTCATTATGTTGCAGAAGATGAACCCTTTTCACTAGACTTAACTCCATTACTAGCAAGATTAATTTAGTTAATTCAAATTGATTATTTTTTGTTAGGGTTTATTTTTGTTTTGCTTTGTTTTTTGTTTTTAATAAAAAATCTGGCTCGTCTATCATTGGATTTTAAATCGTTGAGGCCAATAATGGGGACTCGTGGGTCATCATTCCTACCTTCTTTCCCAAGGCTTATGTGAAAATTCCATTGATAGACAATTTATAATAATTTTTATAAGTATTATTGGAGTTTAAAAACATGTCCAAAATCTTGATAAATCTTTAAACTCAACTCTTCTAAACATTTTTTTTATCTAAAAAGAAACTGAGAACCAGGGCTGGGGAATATCTAAAATAAAATAGTAAATATTTTTTATGCCAGACAAATAATAAATACTTAAATGAGCAATAAATGAATAATCTTCAAGAAACACTAGATCTACCTAATAGTTGACATTAAAAAATTAAAGGAGAATGATGGATAAATATCATCGAAATAAGAAACTGATAAAAAAAAAAGTAATATGAAATAAGATAATACTCTAGAGTTATAGGAATTTATTGTTAAATTATGTCTCTTATCTACGCAAAAATAATAAAAAGTATAGTTGTTAAAATATAAACTAAAATTATTTATAAGAAAGATAAAGTTAACATAAAAAACGTGGCTGTTGCTATTAAAAAAACTAAGCATATTAAGCCTATTGTTATTAAAAAAAACTAAACTAACAAATACTCCCTCTGTTCACAAATATAAAGTATTTTTAATCGAATCTCACCCTCTAATAAAATAGTTATTTAATTTCTAACTAACTCCCTTATAATTTAATCCTTATTTTTTAATTTTTTTAAAAATTTTCTTATCAAATAAAAAGGATAAAAAAAAGTTCATATATTATTCTAAAATACCCTCCTTTTACTTTTTGATGTGAAATTTAAACTACCAAAAAAAAAGTAAAATAAAAAAAGGTGAGGGACTAAATTATAAATGATTCAAAAGTTAAGAGACTGAGTCATAGGCGAGTCATAGTTGAAAAATTGAGTCACAGCAAGTTATAGTTGAGAGACTGAGTTACAAGTAAGTGAAAAGTTAGAAGACTAAAAGATTAATTTTTTTTTTAAAAAAACCATTACCATAACATGTTAGTTATAGTTGTATCATCAAGAAAAATATTAGTTATAAAATAAATTATTTGATATAAGCTCAAATAATTTATGTCATGGGCAGGGAGACCAAAATATACTATTAAATAAAAATAATTAACATTAAATAATTATTAAATATTTTAAGCAACAATGAATTCTGGATAAGAATAAAAAGGAAATATTAAAGTTAAATATGATGATAAATATAATAAAACATGTAAATATGGGATAATGTAATATAAATAATGAATAAAATGACCCATAAAAGTTATATTGTTGAAATGGTGTAATTTCTGACGTACGAAATTGATTAATTCAAACGCATTTAATTTAACTAATATTTTATTTTAAATAAGTACCCATATTTCATTCAAGCACTTAAATTTTTCGTTAAGTAAAATTTTGCTATAGCACTTTTTACCAGAAAATTTACTATAGCACTGACTTATGAGAGAATTAAACATTTTTTTCTTTTGCATGAAAAAAAAATGTCTAAACTCCCCCGAACAAAAAATCGTTAAAAGAACACAAGTTTGCTGATATGACTCACATTGCTCGAGTTCTTATGGAGACGTCTGATATAACTTAATCTTCTCCTTGTATTAAGACACTCAATAAGACAGTTAATTTTTTTTTTTTTTAACCTTGACATATGCTATACCATTGTATATAATCTATAATGTATATAAAATAGGTAAAAATCTTTTCTTTTGTAAAATATAATCTTTTGTTGCCGTTTGTTGTTTGTTCTACAGTAAAAACAATAATAACATATACATACATACATACATACATACATATATATATATATATATTTAAAAAAGAAAAACATCAATAAAGCTGAAGTATACTTGTACATGGTACAGGGGCAAACTCTAGTGTTTATTTATAACATTAAAATCCAACACAACATCATACAAACTCTGAAATACACACAAGAGATACACACAAGAGGCTTAGGGGCAAACTTCACTCTTAACTTTAGTGCAAACTTCACTCTTAACTTTTATTTAGGCTATAGTGCAAACTTCTATATCCCAAACCCCAAATCTTTCTTATTCTCATCTTCCTCATTGGGACCTTGTTTAGATTTCTCTTCCCTCCAATGCACGTCGTTCTTCAGCTGCTGCCTCAAGTTCTTTCACCCTTTCCTCAGTGAAAGGATAGGCTTCATCACCATAAAGCGTGATGAGTCCTCTGGCTTCTTTCGTGATGGTTCGGCCACTAGGTCCGATGGCCACCAACATGGGAATGCCTTGCACCTTGAACTTGTGACCTAAGAATGCCTTCCTAGAGTCTCCAAAAGGAAGCGCCAGCCATGGCATTTCAGCAAAGAATTTGTCAAACGAGGCCTGGTCCCTGTCACTGGATATGAAGACGACTTCAAGTGCATTGTCCTTGGCCTTGATCTTGTGATATGCTTCTATAAGCTTTGGTAGAAATGCACGGCATGGTGGGCACCATTGAGCTGAGAAGTATAGGAGGACTGTCTTTCCCACTAAATCTGACACTGGAATCTGAAATGAAGAAGAGCTACTATCATTACTATCACAGAATGGAGAGAGAAGAGGATAGGAAGAGAAGCACCATTATGGGTTCAGATGATACACAAGTTTCAAATATCATCTTATAGTAGTATAAATAGTTTCATGTTTGGAATAACAAATCAGAAGCCTTCATATAAAGCATAGACTAAAGTTCAAAGATATTCAATTCATATATTTATTGTATCCTGATTTAAATGATACTCAAGTGTCAAATATCAGCATTCTAGAGTTTCATGTTTGAAATGACAAACCAAAAGCTATCATACAGAGAATATTAATTTTTGCTGTAAAAGAATAAACTAAAAAGTTATCAAATTCACATAGTTCTTTCTATCACCATTTGTGTTTTTTGACATCCAATAAATCAGAATGTACAAGACCATTTTCAAGCTATTGAAAATATCTAAGAAGCAACAAGGGAAAAAAAAAAGAAAGAAAAGTTCGATTGTTTTACACATACCGTGACCCCATCTTTCCCCAAGACAAAATCTAGATCTCCAGAAACCAGAATAGATTCAAGGGTCTGAGCTGCCTCGTTGGCCCTCTCTATCTCAGCAAGCTCTGCAAACCGCTCAGGAGTAAAAGGGTATGCAGCAACGCCGTGCTCGTCAATGGCCTCAGTTCCATCTTCAGTGGCGACTCTCCCATTCTCGTCCAGAATCACGAGGTGGGGAATCCCCTGCACTTGGAACAATTGGTCGAGGCTACTGCGAGTGTCGGAATCAGAAAATGGGACAGCAAGCCATGGCATCTTTGAAAAGTAACCTTTGAAGGAATCTTCATCTTCATCAGCTGACACAAAGATGATCTCAAAGTCACCTTTAGGTGAGACTTCATTGTACAACTCCACCAAAGTAGGGGTGAATCCTCGGCAGGGGCCGCACCAAGATCCTGAAAAATATAAACCAACTTTCTTCCCTTTCAAGCTCTCAATTTTAACCTGAAAATATTTACAGCATGATTAAAGACCTCTCCAATAAAACAGCATATCCAGCAGTAGAGTCTATCAGATCTCATGCTAAAAAAAATCATTCTGATTTATTCTATTTGATTCAGCAGCCTATTTTAACCCATCTTTGTCTTATACTGAAGAACAAGCTGGTGTATCACAACTCACGTGTTTCGTAATTAAAAGATATCCGTGAATCAAACATCAAACATAGAAAATACAGAAAGACAGTAATCAAATCAGATATGCTGCAAGTACAGACACCCTATTCACTCAGAAGACAAAATTTAGTGAGAGGGCTGTTGATCATAACTTCAGATATGGTTGGAGTCTTATGGAAGAAAGATGGATTCGTGAATAAATGAAGAGTTCCAGCTTTCCGAATCTCAGACGTGGAAATTTTTCCGAGAAAATTAAAGGAAGAAATCGCGTTAAAAGTAAGAACAAAAGAAGCACCTGATCGCCGTTGTTCCGAACGAGATAATCCCTCCCCGAAGAAGAGAGGATAGATTGAATATCATGGGCGACATTATCAGCACCAGCCATTTCCGTCACTGAAACTAGCTCTGAAAGCAGCCCTGCACAACAAAAAGAATCGCACTTCCAATGGTTATTTATAGGCAGAAAAAATCCGGGGGGCCTTTTCTCGTTACTTCTTGTCCGAGACACAAAAACAAAAGAAAAAAAGAGAGAGAGAGAGGGAGAATTAACGTAAAAAACAAAATTAATTGCGTTCATAAACAACTAACTCTTTCTGAAAAAAAGTCTCTCTAACTTCAATCTGGGTCCGTAATTTTGTATTACTGATTATCACAGAGGATGAGAACATGCTCTTCTTCCCACTATAATTTCTGGAATATTCGAGCTTTCATTGTCGGCTGATTTTCTTAGTGGCTAAGGGAGAAAGAAACAAAAAATAAGCAGTTCTCTCTTTTCCCATTGGACAAAGCAGCCAGGGAGTGATGATCGGACAAGAAATGTCGTTCATGTTCCAATGACCGAAACGTATGTCGCTCGCATAAACGACGACTATTGGCGTCAACCTTCAACGTTTTAAAATCGGATATCTAACGACAGAGAGATGAATAAATTTGTATATAGTAAAATATCTTTTAGTGGCGATTTTTTTAATATAAATTTAGACCTATCAGTAGAGCTGAAAATTCGGGCGGGCCGGGGTCCGACCCGAATAGGCCCGAACCCAAACAGGCCCGTTTTTTTAAAAAGCCCGAATGACTAAGCCCGGCCCGAATTCCTTCGGGCTTCGGGCGGCCCGAATACCCGAATTTTATTTTTAAAATTATTTTTAATTAATTTTTTTACTTTAAAATTAATTATTTTATTTTATAAAAAAATATAAAATATATATTTTTAATACTTAAATGATGTTTAGGACTCAAATATATGATATTTTAATATAAAATGACCTAAAAATTAAAGAATTAATTAATATTTATTATATATTATATATTTTTAAAAATAAAAAAAATTACTCGGGTATTCGGGCCAAGCCCGAACCCGAATCGGGCTTGGCCCGAACATAAAAAAACATCTTTTTTTTAAAGCCCGGCCCTAAAATTTTTCGGGCTAATTCGGGCTAGCCCGTCGGGCTCGGCCCGAATTACCGGCTCTACCTTTCAGAATCCAAGTGGCGAATCTTGGAAGAGTTGACATGACATTGATATAATAAATTAATTAATTTCAATTTAATTATATAATAGTGGATTAAAGGATAAATTTGTCCTTAATTTTTTCACCAAATGCAATGAGTATCCTTAAATTTTGATTGTCATAAAATTATCCTAAAAATTTAAAAAAATGATGCAATACTGTCTAGTAATATAGTAAGGTTGATTGTTAATTAAACATTTTTTAAAATGGTTAAAGATTAATTTTACTCTAGAAGATTTTTTTAAGATAAATTAGTATCTTAAACTTTTCAATCAGCACAATATTTTTAAATTATCAATAGTTAAATTATAAGAAAAATCTAACAACACATTATTGATTTTAAAAATGATTTATGCTTGCACCCAAATTGCCCTTTTATTTTTGCAATTTGTACTTACAGATTTTGACAAGAAACATTACTTAATTTTGCTTGAATGTAAAACTAACTCTATTTGAACATTCTGCGAACTTTCCCTTCAATAAAATCCAAACTTCTCTTTATTTTTTTTAATGAGTAAGTTCAAGCATGTGTCCAAACTTAACTGTAAGCAAATATAGATTTTTTTTTTTCAAACTGCTTGTGGGCAACATAGATTAATTTAAATTTTGACTTAGAGATGTTTAATATAATTCAATTCAAAATCTTCTATGATTTTAGGTCATAATGACTTGTTAGATCATTCTTTTGATTTAAAAGTTAATAATCTTAAAGTATTGCGCTTGTTAATAGTTTAGGATGCCAATTTTTTTTTAAGATAAATTCAAGAATAAAATTATCCTTTAATCCTCATAATAACAATAAACATTTGCCAAATGTTATTATAACCCTCATAATAACAGTAAACATTTATCAAATATTATTATAGGGTAATATTGCATAATTTTTAGAACTTTCAAGTAACATTGCATCAATTGAAAAGATAAATGTTTCATTATTTAATCAAAAATTTATAGGACAAATTTGCCCATAACCTTATAATAAACAATAATCATCGGCTTATTGCTTTGATTTTTATTTCCATTTATTCAACTTCACTAATTAATGATATATCATATGAGTCATATAATTATTTCAATTCGTATAATAAAAAGGAGGACTATTGGCGTCAACGTTTTATAATCCGATAGGATAGCTGGCGAATCAGATGCCAAACAACGAGGTTTAATACGATAACGTCCTTCTAATTCCCCCCCCTTAAATTACTCCTAAGTTTTATTCAAAAAAGAAAAAACATGACAACAGTCAAATATTAGTTATATTGAGTGGGGTCACCACACCCAGTAGTTTCATATCCATGAATAGTTCATTTAATAATTCATCAATCATGGGTAATATACAGATCATATAATTTATGTTCTATGTTTCTTGGATGATTTTTTATTTTTTTCAAGTTATATAAAAGACTAAAATAGTTCTAATTAGTTATTATTTGTACAAACCAAACTAGAAATTAACCTTGATGTGCTGCACAAAAATTTTTATAGAAAAATGGATTATAAGTCTTGTGTTGTTAAAGTTTTGATCTACTTGTAATTAATATAAGTTTTAAAAAAAATTAATTATGTAATTTTAATTTAATTATAATTTAGTTTATGAATTTTGATTCATTATAATTCAGTCTTTATAATTTTTTATTATAACTGTGTCTTTAAATTTTAATTAGGTACAATTCAATTCTATAATTTCAATCATTTTAAATATTGATCCTTCTAAATTTGAAAATAAAATTATCATAATTAAAATTATTTTAAAATTTAGGGACTAATATTTTCAATTACCAAAACATTTAATATTTATAAAGAATATAAAAAATTAAAATTTTAGAATAATTTTAAAATTTTTAATTTATTTTTTAAAGTATATGGACTAATATTTTAAATGGTTATAACTACAAGGAATAAGTTGTATTGAATCAAAATTCAAACACTGAATTATAATAAATTAAATTTAGAGATTAAATTATAATTGAGTTAAAACTATAAAAATTAAATAATTAATTTTTTTATAAATTTGAAGTATTTTAGAATTAAGAATTTTATGTGAAAATTACGTTATTATGAATAGGAAGTGTATCATAACACCTTGTATGTAACAATTACAAAAATTAAATTGAATTGAATTATTAAACCATAAAGCGGGTAGGTTCAATTTACATGAGCTCGATTTTTCCGGGTCCAGGTCCAGAAGATAACTAAAGAAAAATATGTTTCCTTAATTCTCCTCCCAACCCACAAAAGTGTATATTCCCCAGCAACCATAAAATGGTGGTCTCTCATAGTTTGATGCTTTACCAAATTTGATCACCTAGGAAGAGTCCGTAACTATCTTTGACTGCATAAATCGCAGAACAATTTCCTTTCTACATGAAAAGAATATCTAAAAAATATAATTTTTGATTCATATATTTTGCTGACGTTTACTATAAATCCTTACATTTTTTTAATATTTTAAATCCCCACATTTTTATTTTTTAATATTTTAGGTCCTTAAGTGAACAAAGTGTAGAGACTTTGAACATCAAAAAATAAAAATATAGGGACATAAAACATAAAAAAAAAATATAAGGATCAATAATAAAATGCAAGCAAAATATATGGATTCAAAGTAATGTTTTTTTAAAAATATCTCTCATGAATGATATTGCAGTAATATTTTTATATCCCATTTTCTTATGTGAGAATCAAATTTAAAGTCATCTCAAATTAATTTATCATAATAAGGGCTTATCAATTTTGCATTGGATATAAAAATATTTGTATATTGTTATTAAAAATTGAACTTTAACTTGTTAAATTTTTAAGAAAACTCTAACAAAAAAAAAAGTGAAGGTTTACTTTTTAACAATATGTACGTGTTTTCATAAAATGACACAAAATTGATAACCTTTTATTGTAATAAATTCTCTTAAGAGGCATTAAATGTCATTCTTCATTTTCCTCTTTTGTGTATTATAAAATTACCCACAATTGAAAGCATTGTAGGATAGCCTTTCTGCATGAGACACCAGAGTCGGCTAAAAGAGGTTAATAATAATATTGGAATCACTTCTCGCTTTCCCTCAAAGTCTAACTTGTCACTTGTCAGTTACTAAATTGTCAGATTCTCTAATATATTTTTTTTGAATTGAAAAAAAGAAACTAAAATCATAAACGATTACTGCCTAACTAATGATCTTCGTACTTAGCATTTACTTTATTTAGGTTCTTCAAATTCTGAAAAAATATTGTTTTTACTATCTAATTTAAATTTTAGATATATACATTTAAGGTATGTGCATAAAAATTAGGATGTCCATTCATTTTGATACCTGCCATTAAGCAAATCACCTATTTTAATTTTTTAACACTTTTTTGCTATGTAAAAATTTAAGTGACTGGTATCCCAAGCCTCCAAGGCTAATGTTTATAAATATATTTATAAATTATCCACTAATAAAATTTTTATATTAATAATGGGGTTTGAATTCAAAATCTCTGTAAGTTATGAAAATTTTTTACCAGCTAGAACGGTTAGTCAGTCAAATCACCACTTTTTAATGCCAATATGTCCATGAAATGACAAAGCAGAAAAATTAGATAATAAAGATAATATTTTACACCAGATCAATACTTGATGTCATTTAGCTAACATTATTTTCTAAATTTTGTTGATTTATTTGACATAATGTGTGTAGACAGCACAAGTCATGTACTAGTACTTTTTTTTAACTACAATATAAATATTATATATTTCTCGCCTTCAAAATTTATTCAAAATTACACACACACACACACACACACACACACACACACACCGATTTCAATCTCTAACTCTTTCACACATAAATCCCAACTCCGCGCCTGGTCATATTGATCATCAGTAGAACAGATTGATATGTATCCCCGCCTTGCTATTTGTTGCTGAAAAATTTTACATTGCACAAACACTGCGTGTTGGATTTTTCTTCGTTGTGTGATATAAATTAAAGCATAGCCAAGTTTCCACAACACCATAACGTGGAAAGTGAACGAGTATGAAAGACCTTTTTTTTTTTAATCGAAAAACGCAAGTCAACTTCTTCCCTGCAAGAGATTAAAGCCAAGCATGACGTCTATTTTTGTAACACCTCTTCTCCTTCGGGCTTTGACTTGTACTAGACCATCTTTTTATCCCCCGATAAAGAAGTATTTTTTTCGAACAACTAACATACTATTACTATTACTACTACTACACATGTTTTGAAAT